GCCGCCCGTAATCTGTGAGTTGCTGAAAGCATGGAAGAGCTGCACGTGCACAATCAACATCTCACGCGTCTCAAACGATAAATTGCAAGCTGTACAGTGATAGCGCACAATTTTCTCGCAGTGATCGCCCAAGTGTTCCTGAATATAGCAAAAAACAGTGTATGATACGCACTAACACCATGCTAGCGAGACAAGCCAGGTACTGGCCCAGCCGTACACCGAATTACCGCAAACAGTCTTTTCTGCTAAAGCACACCACAGTATTATTACAACAAAACGCTACTGATTTTGCTGTACATAAGTATCTTCTACCAAATCTCCTGCTTCTTTCACTTCCTTTTATAATTATTTGAATTTATCCTCTTTTAACTTTCTTAAAATAACACATTTTCTCATACAAATTTATTTTATTATGCGTTTTTTCATATAAATTGCAAAAACGCATATTGGTAAGAGGCTGTGTGTGTCTGTCTAAGCGTTTCTATATGTTAACAATTTTTGTTTCCCACTTTTAACTCAAAAACCAGAAAAGCTAGAAGGCTGAAACTTCAGAAGTAATTGACCATACCATGTGCCACCCTTTTGTTTTAATGTTGTTGTCCGCGATGCCTGAGTGTCGTGTAAGACGCCTTAAAAAACATGCATATTTTTTGGCGGGATAGCGGTCCCAGCAACCAGACACGATGGACAGCTGAAATTTTGCAGGGATATTCTCTGTGCATATATGAGCTAAGGATTTCAAATTCAGCCCCTAGCTTCCTACGTAAAGACATGTGGAAGATTTGGCGAGAAAATTGCTAGCTCAGTAACCGGGGAAGCTGGAGGGCTGAAACTTTAGGGAGATATTCCCCTGAAATTTTAGGGAGGAATTTTAGGGAGCCAACGTACAATTTAAAGATTTTAAATCCAGCCTCCCAGGTATGTGGAATACCCACGTACGGGTGTCTAAAAGTTTTGGTGGGCAAATTACCAATTCAGGGACCAGAAAAGTTAGAAAGTTGAAATTTTTGGGAAAGTCCTTTGTCCAAGTATAACTCAAATGTCTCAGATTTAGTCTCCAGGTATGCATGGTTCTCACGAGCACTTAAAAGTTTTGGCGAGAAAGGTGTTCACTGAACAGCTAAGTTACTTTCAAAGACCGACCGCTAAATGAGAATTGCTCATTTACTTTGTGCAAAATTTATGGTGACTTACGCTAGTGAGCGTAAAAGGCAGGTGTAAAGCAATAACCATTCATGGAGTTACCGACCTGAGTACTTCAAGTCTAGTGCAAAAACGCATGATTTTACCGGCAAGCTTGTTGCATTCCAGCCTTGGTTTATTAATTTTATCAGCACCACAACCGTCGTACTGATGAGATGTACCTGTGGCGCTGAATAGGAATGTCTACAAGCTAATGACCGAAACATTCCTATTTACCCAATTCATCAAGAAAATTTTGTGCATATTTATTAATGTACATCATAATTAATATCTATATTCCATCGTGCCAAGACTGGAAACGAATAAGGTAGTGTTGACGAGACACAGCAGGACTCAAACCTTGGTATGCCAAGAAGACACTGTGCCGCATTTTTGTACAAATAAATCTAGGCAATATGAATTATTGTAAGATTGCGCAGCAGCACTAATGGAGCAATAACAATGAAATTGTAAGTAAAACCCAAAATGCTTATTATCTAGCACCGGTAAAGAACGACATTGCCATGCCTGGCTTTTGGAAACATTACAGTAACATCACTAAAATGAAGTGTCTGCACCAGCTTTCCATGAAATTTTGGTATTCTTGACGTAAGAAATATTTACTTGACGTATTTCAAGATTTATTTCATTACCAGCCGTTTGAAAATTTGAATTTCATCCATTATCAATCCTTTTTTCCTCTCTCAAACTTCCTCAATCACTCCACACTGCCTCATACTGTTTCTTTGTTCAAGAGGGATGAAAACAGTAGAAATATGCGTGGAGTAAGAAAACCCTTAGCAGCAGCGTCCACAAAAGTTTAGTTTTGGACAATTTTCCAGTGAAAGCACTTCAAGGACCGGAACATTCCTGTTTAGCTGTTTGATTACATTTTGATGACATTTTCCTAAATTTTAATAAAATACACCTTTAAACCACTGTTGGCGATGACTGCGCAAGTGGCCCTTCCATCTGTTACCATACCTATTCTCAACCGCTGAAGGCGTTAAATATATACGGGTAGATGTTTAATCCCCCGAATTCACTCTCGTCTTACCGCTACTTCTTCGTCGGGCACCACTCCTACCAAAAAAGGATGATGCATCACTAGCACATCTCACCTGGCCAGTGGCCACCAAAATTGCAGAAAGCTACAATCAGGCCGAGCTGATTTCTGGCTCATTAGCAAGACAGGTGGTGTGCAAAAGACCTGGAAACGCTGCAGGTTATTGAACGTCTGATCGCATATGTTGCATCGGTAGAGCGCCGTCACGTGCTTATCCACGTAGTGTCGCTGCAACTCTTGAAGATTGCTGAAGACCAGAGTTGGGCATTCCTTGCATGTCGCAATCACTGTAGTTTCGGCGAAGTGCTCTGCGATGTGCGATAGATGTGTCTGCAATATCTCTTCAGAAACATTCCAAAAAATTTTTTGCGTTACGACGGGTATCGATATCATGCC